CCGCGCGGTGGTGGCGCCCTTGGGCTCGGGCCCGGCTGCCGCCGGGGTCCGGCCTTGGGCCCCGGGGGAGCCCGCCGGGGCTCAGGACCAGAGCCTGTGCGTCCACCCAGGGCCGCCCCAGGTCTTTTCTGGCTGGTTTAGGCACTGACAAAGAACCCTCAGCCCCCATCGTGAGGGCTGCCCGGAGGGGCGCTGAGACGTTGCCCAGACAGGCCCACCGCAGCGGGGTGCCATGCAGGATTGGGACCCCGTTGCTTCCGGATGGAGGCTGGGACGCGAGAGACGAGGTCCCGGCTCAGGCCTTGGGCTGGTTCAGGAGAGGCGCTGAGGAGGGAGCCGCTTCCGGCCTCCCTCGGCCGGCAAGACGCGCGCATGCAGGAGTCGGGGCGAGCGTGGGAAGGACCCGAGGGAGAGGCGAGAGCGGACCCCCCCAAAGGGGAGCGAAGTAGTGATTGTGCAGGAACTCTTGAGGGAACGGCTCTCAGTGCTGTTTAACCACAAAACCATCAGAGGGCGGCCAAATCCAGCCCATGGAAGCGAAGACGGCTCAGCCGGGTCCTGCCTCCTGTGACCTGGGAGCTGCAGCTCTGCCTGGGAGGGGGCAGGGGCTCGCAGGGGGGAAGATCAGCTCCACTCCCCGAGATCAGGAATGATGGAGGGCAGGAGGGAACCACAGGACCAAGCACAAGAGCACAGACGTAGCAGCACTGACTACTGCATGGCTGTGATTCTGGTCGGGCCAAAGAGATGTGCATTTGTCCCGTGGGGCCAGGGCTCCAGAACTTGAAGGTGCTGAGAGCTTCTTCCCTTCTCAAGCGAGGATGCAATAGCAAGGCCCTCTGGACAGGGGGCTGGGTACCAAATCGAGCCGCCCTCCCTGGCTGATGTGGTCCGGTTACTGAAGGCTCCTATCCCTGGAGAGGACAATGGGATGCCAAATACAAGAGGCCTCCTCTCCTGGGCCTGGGACTATTTGATGTCTGCTGTATTGCGGCAAAGCCGCTGGGATCTGTGGGTTGCTGGCAGTCAGCGGCCGTGTTGTCAATGCCCTCCGGGTCCCGCGTGGGGGCCCGGAAATGGTCCAATGTTGCGCCCTGACTGGGCAGGTCCCGGCTCTGGGAACGTGGACCTGGCGGCCTCCTGGCACAACCAGAACATGTCCTCGAGGGTCAGGCAGCTTTGCTCACGTTGCTCCAAGTGTGCTGCACACTCAGCCTTGCTCATAGCTGTTTCACCCATCTCGCTCCCCCTCGCTGCCTCCACCGGCTCACGGGGAAAGGCTGTGAGCGAGGGGGGGATGGATCAGGACCACGAATATCACCCCAAGCCTAGGGCTCCCTGGGGCTGGGGATACAATCTGACTCCTCTCAATGTCCTGCCCTCACCATGGACCCTGGTCGCCCCTCTCCCTCCTCCCAGCCCACCTGCAGCAGGGCTCTGCAAACAGCTCCCTCCATAAAAATGCCTCTGAAGTGAAAGCAAACTTTCCATGCAGCTGGCGGAGGACCAGGGCGCTGCTGGAAAATTGGCTGAAATGTGTGTTTTCTTTGTGAATATTTCCTTCCCTCCTGGGTTTTCTCTGCTCAATTGCTCTATGCCCGTACTGCCAGCCTGCAGGCCCCTGGCCTCTTCCTCCTCTGCCACGGGGAAGGGGTGCATTCAGGCTGCTGTCCCATAGCTCTCCCCACTACGCAGCTGGTTCCAGAAAAGATATCATAGAAAATGAGGTTGGGAGGGAGCGCAGGAGGTCACGTCTAGTCCAACCCCCTGCTCCGAGCAGGACCAGCCCCAGCTACATCTTCCTAGCCAAGGCTTTGTCTACCCGGGTCTTAAACACCTCCAAGGATGGAGACTGCACCACCTCCCTCGGTAACCCGTTCCAATGTTGTGCTCACCCCAGGAAGAAGTTAGTCAAAAGCAGAACCTGAGACCCTGCACTGATGGGAATTCGGGGGAGGGTTTAAACAGCTGGGCCCCAACGTGACCCGGATCTACCCTGTATTCCCAGCGTACGTGCCTTGCGGGGTGGCAGCACTGTGCCGACACTCCAGCGCTTGTACATGTGACGACATATGGGCCCACAGAGCCGCAGTAACGGG